GAGAGAGATATAAGAGAACAGAGTGTATACACCTATGTAGTGGAGTACGCTGCTGTGTAATGCAGCGAGTAAAACAAATAGTATGTGTACGGAATATCAGTGCGGATACGAAAGGGCACTTTCATTAAAGGTCCCATCAGGAAAAGAATCTGAGAATACAATATATTATAGCCATGGATGTGAGAAATAACACAGAGTGTAAATTTGGTTCCTTGTAAGCAAACACCAACAGGGGCAAACTGGGACTGAGTAACATCTGAAGCTCACCCCGATTACCCCTCAGGCCGAGCATATATTCCACTGTAAATAGGCATGATATGCAATGATAGAAGATACTTGAAATCCGTAGTAAGGGTTCCACGGACTAGAAAGGTTAGAAAAGTCCACATTGCGGAGCAGTGGTAAAATGTTCAAGCAGTGAAGGGAACGGTGCCTTGAAGAAAGGAGTTGCGCAGAATGGACAGAGGAGAGAAAAGACGGAAGGTTGGATCAGTGACCATTGATGTTTGGATCTCTGTCAATATATTCAGAATTGCTATCAAGTGTTTCGAATTACAGAGATGTTCGTGATGGAGCCAATATTGGCATGGGAGGGGAGGATGAGTAAAGAATGGAACTGTATTGGACTGTACCAAGGTAGCGGATGCGAAGGGTGGAGGGAACTGATAGCGTGGCAGGGGACAAGAAAGGCTAGAACCCTTGGAGGTGGCAGAATAAGGAAAGAAACTTGGGAGGGAACAGGATGAAGGTACATTAACGAGGAGGAGGTTAACTCTGCACTTGTAACTGACCATTGAGGAGGGGAAGAACTGAGGACAGAGACAGGGGGGTAAAATGTAGAGGTGGAAGATGGTAGGTGATACCGGACCTTTTTTTTTTTGACTTTGATAAGTAGAGGGACGATTAGTGAGAGAGTTCGTACGAGGTCTCGTCGATACCGAGCTTGAGAGAGAGAACTCGAGAAATGCGAGAGTAGACTTGATGCGTTGAAGTAGGACGTCTGAGCCGAGGACAGCAAAGGATTAGATCAAGGAGTGATTAAGGGAGAGGTAACCACAGAGGTGGGGGTGTAGAAGATGGGATAGCTTGTAGTGGGGGACTGGTGGGGGTATATCATCGAATAAGAAAACGGGGAGTCTCCCTTGGGAGGCTGAGATGAGAAAACTGCCGATGGCATAAGGAGACCTTCTGTCCTTTAGAGTTAATCGGATTTCCCGCTCGTTTAAATCGACCTGACAACGGCGAGAGTATGAAGGGTGAGCCTCATACAGTTAAGGCAATGGATGATGGATTGCAAGACTATTAGAATGGTCGATCGGCACCACAGACTGGGCATTCGGCGATAGATCTGCAATATTTCGCTGGATTGTCCAAATCGCCAGCAATTTCCTACACTGTTGTTGGTGAGGGATCACCTTCAAACTTGTACCGAGTCCTCTATATAAACTGGAGGATGGGAGTTCTCGGCTGTCAAAAGTTAAAACGGAGCCACATTGCTAGGGTTCGTCTCCGCCCAGGGCAGGAAGAACGTAAGTGTCTACCTGAGGATGGGAATCTTGAGTTCCACTGTTCTCAGAATGTCGGTGACCGACATGTCTGGAAATTTTGTTGAACTATGTAAGGGGCAGAATGACGGTACCACTACAAGAATTGAGGGAATTGATGTTTTTCAAGAGAGATCAGAACAGTATCGATATGGAAAGACGAGAGAGCTCATGAGCCTGATTAGCAATTCTGTACGTAAGATGCCGACCGCTCTTAAAGACATGAAAAGAAATATCTTTACCAACATGGATAGGAGTCTGCCAATACTATGGTTCATAAAGTATATCCAGTAGAGAAGTTGGTGTCGTAAAGTTAATAATTTAGTCCACCGTTTCATCGGAAACTGAGCATGGAAAGGTAAGTGAAGACGTGTAGATCGTTTTTCTGAGACAACGAGAAGGTGGAGAAGTATCATCAAGCTGGTAATTGTCCGATACGTTTAGGCGTGGGACCAAGTTTGGTCCGACGGTGGAAACGGTCGTCGATTTGAAATTCCGCACCGTAGAGGGGATAGGCCGGAAGCATAGTCATAGAGAGCAAGGTCGATAATCGAAGGGAGTCAGTCAGGCCTGCAGTACCTGAAGCGGGTGAGGAAACACACCGGCAATAGGTACAGAGGCATGAGGAAATGTCTGAAGATGGTCCCAAAGACGAGGCGGGGTCAAACGGGGTGCGGTATAAGAAGGGGCTCCGGGGGTACCATGTTCATGGACTAGGGACTTGCCATGGTTAGGTTTTACTTACTTTCTTTTTTGTTTTAAGAAAAAAAAGAAAGAAGAAATGAAATAAAAATAAAAAATAAAAAAAGGGGGGACCGGGAGGGATAGGTTCCTAGGAGGAATGAAAGGGCCAGATAATCTCCCTGCCGCGCCCAAGAGGAACTCAGCACCGGGGAGCAAGAAGCGCAGATGCAGCATAGGAACCCGTGCCATACCCTAACCCATCATGCTAGTAAACTAAAAATCCGGGATAGCAACCTCACATCTGCCGAGCTACCTCGGTGGACAAAAGGGGAGGGCGGCCGGATATCCACCACAAAGCATACCTCCTTGGGCCCACCACCCCCGGAATCCAAAAGGTGGCTTCCAGAGATACACTCGTCGCCCGAAAGACACCCAAAGCTACTCCGGGATCCCGGAGAGGGATCGGGACATCCCCAGGCGATCCAGATCCACAGCAAACTACGCCCCCGCTAAGAACCTCAACGGAATGGGATGGACCCCGGTATCCTTTCTCCTACCTAGGAAACTAGCGCACCTGTGGGAGAAATCCCAAAGGACAAAAAAAGGAAGGGCAAAAGGGAGGATGGGGAGGAGGAGGAGGAAAGGAAAAAGGGGAGGATGGGGAGGATGGGATTAGCCACGCCAAGGACCCCCCCTTGAAGAGGCCGCAAGGAAAAAACCTGGTACTAGTAGAACAAAGAATGTTTTGTATTCCTGTACTTTATTATGCATCCTTTGTACTTTTGTAAGGTTTCTAATAAAAATTTAAAAAAAAAAAAAAAAAAAAGTGTATGTGGACCATGCGATAGGTTGAAAGGAGGAGTTGCCATCCTGGTGGGGGAAAACAAAGCCCGTTCGTAGTGAGGCATTGTGAAGGTGGGGAGGGGAGGGTGATTCGTGTAGATGGGTGGTGGGGTAGGGTACAGATGAGTTTGGTGTGTGTGTATGGTCCAGCAGAGGGAGATGTGCGTATTAAAAATAAATTGTGAAGGATGTCTTAGTATATTATTTGCGTGTTTTTGCCGGGTGTAGCTGTAATTTGGGGTGATTGGAATTGTGTGATAAGGCGAAAGGATGTGGAACCTAGAGGGGCGGGGTTTTGTTTGGGGATTTTGGGGGGAATTTTTAAAAAGGAGGGGGGTTAATGGACGTTGGACGGGTGGGGTTGTAGAACATACTTTTGTTAGACGTGGATATGCGGCAAGACTGGATCGATTGTATGTGCCCCGTACAGTAATAGTGAGCAGAGTGCGTGTGGTGGACGCGGTTTTTTCGGATCACAGAGGAGTAATGGTGGACATAGAATGGAGGGATTGCCCAGAAGGGGTCAAGGTTATTGAAGTTAAATGTGAAGCTTTTGCAGGGTGAGGAATGTCGTCAGTCTTTTGCGCAATTGTGGGAACGGGTTGGTGGATAGGTGCCGGGGGGATGATGAACTGGTAAAATTTGGGGGGATTCGGTGGCTAAAAAACGTATCAGAGAATATTTATATTTGTCGGTTAAGTATGGGTTTCAAAGATATCTTGAAGGGCAGCTGCGGGAATGTTATGCAAGAGGAGGAGCAAGCTATCCAGTGCAGGACATTGAGGGTTAAAGGAGAGTATTAGGGTATTGCAAAACGAGCGTTTTGATGGTGTGCGAATTATGGAGGATTGGAAGAAGTGCTATGGGTGACCCGGGCCCTCGGCTTGCGTGTTTAAAAGGCCAGAGAAAGAGGAGAGTGACGATGGAGATGATGGGGTTAAACGTACATGTAGGGATGGAAGGGTATAGAGCGGTCAAGCATTGGTAACGACAGAGGGTATGAGTGGATATGTAGACGCTTGGTTTAAGTCATATACGCAAAATGTGGGCTTCCGTGAGGTGGCATTTAGGGAAATGGGAGAGTAAAGTGCAGTGTGAGCTTGATGGTCAAGATCGGGTGACATTAGGTGGGCCGATTACGGAGTGTGAGATTTGGCAGGCGTTGTCAGGAGTGAGCTTTGGGGAAAAACGCCGGGTATAGACGGACTGCCCAAATGATTTCTACGTAAAGAATTGGGGGGGTTCTGAGTTTTTTTTTTAAATAAGGCTGTTTAACATACTTAAGGCGCTGAGGTAATGGGAAAAGGAGCAACGGACGGCCGTTGTGGTGTTGGTGCCGAAAGGGAGCAGTCAACGGTAATGGATTATCGGGCACTTTCGCTTATGTGTGGAGATTATAAGTTGTTTGCGAGAATATTAGGGAAAAAGAATCAAGAGGGTAATAGGCAAGGTAATTGATAGGGGGCAATATGGGGTGCCAGGAAGGTCGATGTATGAAGGGCATGGCATGATTCGAGAATTTATAGAGAAACAGGGGGAGTTGGGTGATGGAGGTGTATTGGCGTTAGATTGGAAGGCTGCTTATGATAGTGTAGAAAGGGAAGGGTTATGGAGGTTTATGCGTTGGCAAGGTTTTGGGGAAGAAATAATATCTTGGGCAAAATTATTGTATCAGGGGGCATCGATGAGGGTGCAGGTTAATGGGAGGCTAGGAGTTAAAATACAGATGCGACGGGGACTGCGCCAAGGCTGCCCACTATCACAAATATTGTTTGTGTGTATACAGGATCCATTTTATTTTTTTTTTTTATATTTTATTTCAAACAATACAATACATTAAATAGATAAAAGAACACAAGATCAATTCTTACACAGAATTATAAATTTCATTGTCAAAAGCACACAGACGTTTAACTTTGTGCTGTCCTGCACAAGTAACACTACCAGTGTTTTTATACATTGTGTATGCATAGGTATAAAATACATACCCAATACTTGACATAGAACATAAGAATGCTCCTCAAACCTCCACCATACAGACCCCACCCACTATCATACAACATATAGTCCAAGATTCATATACACAGCAGCAGCATACGCCACCTCAACCGCACCAGCGTACCTTAGGTGCACACAGGCGCAGGCAGCAACACCTCTAACCAGAACCTAACACTACTCACATTCCACAATTTGCAGACACATCTGAACAGCACATATCAAGCCACTTTCATCCTAACACTGGGCACATGCCCCTCTCTCAAGGAGCACGCTATCTGGTGCCCCCAGACACACACGCCATTAACCGTCGCTGCCATCAAGCAGCAGACCTCATCACACCTTCCACAACTATTCCCGCCCCTATCTAAACCCCCCTCACACCTGGCTAAGGTTTCCTCCCGCGCTGCCCCACTTGTACTTTTGCATGCCCACTTGGGCCCTGGGGGCCACGTTTGCCATGCTCTCCACGCACGACACCCGTGCCACCTGGCACCACCTGCTGTAGCTGCTCACCTCCACTAGCACACCGCCCCCCATCTACCGATGCTTTCTTCCCTGTTCGTTGAGCCGGCGTCAGGACGTCGTCAGAGTCCGACATTGCTGCAGCCCTCTTCCTCGTCCCAGCATCCTCCTCCATGTTTGTGACCGGATCATCCACGCGATGTACCTCCACCACCACCTTCGTCTCTGCCTTCTGACGAGGGGTCACCACGTCCCCGCCAGCCCCACCAGCACCAACAACCTCCTCCTGCTGCTGCTGCTCGACCGCCACAGACACGATCTCCGGACTGGCCGTCGTCACAGCCGGGGAGACCACATCTGTAGATGAGAACATGGTATGCAAAACAGACGCTATTGTCGCATCCAAGTCCTCCACTTCCACCATCACCTGGTCTTCCCCGGAAGCCTGCTGTACCACCGGCGATGCAGGTGACTCGAGAGACGACAGCTCCAGATTCGACACCACCACCGGCTCCTCAATCTCCTCACTCCAAAGCCGACCGTGGCCACCATCTCCTTTTCGTCCACGTATGGGAGCCTCCTGCCCATCGTCATTCGTTGATCCACCGGCTGGCCTTCTGGCCTGCCCGCGCTGCCCACACTCTGCTGCCATATGATCATATTCACCGCAGAGGCGACACATCCGTCATTGACCAGCATAAGACACCATGACCTGTGTGCGGAAGTCATCAAGGTACACATACGATGGTATGGCCTGGCGTAGAGACATCTTAAGGGTAAACGAACCGTCTGGGAGACCAACATACGCCCCAGCCACCCGCATGCCTTGTTTAGCCATGTGTATCACTCCGTATCTTCTGAAAACACTGCGGAGATCCGTTGCATCGGCCTCGAAGGGCACATTGCGCAGTTTCACCCACGTATATTGTCGAGAGACATCCACCATACGCACATGCACGTCAGGGGACACATCTACGCAGAGATCTTGGAATTGCTCAACCAGCTGCTCGTACACTGGCTCGTAGAGTAGTTTTACAAATATCCGGTATGCGCCATTTAATGCCACACCGTACAAATTCTTGTCCGCAATACCATAAGTGTCACGGATAATCTTAGGTAGCAAAACTTGTTCATTCTCAGGCGTAATCGCCCCCCGAACAAGCTGTATACCAACGGTATTCACCCGCCTCCTCACGCTGAATACCATGACGTCACTGGATAGCTTGCTAGACTGTCAGCAGAGAGGTATGAGGCACGTCCACACTCCCTGGCAGCTAGGTCGCGAATGGATCCATTTTATAGGGCCATTCGGAGGTGTGTTGCGGGAGGTGGGGAGGGTACTGACCGGGGGGAGGGGGGAGCTGGTATCGTAGGTTATGTGGATGACACGACTGTTTTGGTGAGAGGTAATGGGGATTTGCTTAGGGTGGGTAAGGTGGTGGATGTGTTTGGGGAGGCTTCAGGTATGAAAATTAATGTTGAGAAGACTAAGTTTCTAGACTTAAGGGATAGTACAAATGGGGATGAGGTGGTAGGGGGTGGGTGGAAGGTGGTGGATCAACTAATGATATGTGGGATAATTTATGCGAGAAATACACGGGTGGCTCAAGAGGTGAATTCGGTGCGAATAGTGGATGGAGTATTGAAAAGACTTGGTGGTTTGAGGGCGGCGCGCTAACGCTGCATCAAGAGTAATAGTGACGAACGTGCTATTGTACAGCAAGATATGGCATGTCGTTGTCATGTACCCGATGATGAGACGTGAGGTGAAGCGTTTACAACATGGGGTTTTTAGGTTTATATGGGGATCGGGCTGCGAATGGTTAAGTAGAGCGGTGTTAACACTTCCGGTCAGTCGAGGAGGGCTGGGACTTTTACCTCTGGAAAAAAGGATGATGAGCGTGTACCTAAAACGAAGTTATACAAGGGAGGGGTGCGGGAGGGGAGGTGGACTTGTGCGAGTACGTAAGGATATGCAACGGTGGTGGGGGGGTAGGGATTTAATAGTTGGTGAGGCCATGTTGAGGTTATTAATGACAGTGATGGATCGTCGTGTGTTAAATGCGGGTCCTCGAAGGAGTGGAAGGTAGGTCAGTGGTGGCTGCTGTTGAAGGGGCATACCCTATGTATGCGTGGAACGAAATATGGACGCGTCTAAAACAATTACGTGTAAAACCGGGTGTTCGGGAGGTAATGTTTAGATTTTTACATGGGATTTTGCCGTCTGGGGTTGTCCTATTCAATAGGAGGATAAGGGAGGGAGGGGAATGTAGAGCGTGTGGAAGCATGGAGACAATTTTGCATGCGGTATATTTTTGTGACTGTATAGAAGTGGTGCGGGTCTGGTTAGGAAAGGTGTTCAGGTTAGTGGGTGGGGGAGGATTGCAGGTGTTGCGGGCTTTAAGTTTGGATATAGGTGGGGTGAGTAAGATGGGAATGCAGTTGCGTATTTGGTCACGGATTTTATATATACGTCATGGGCCATGAGGGAGGTGGGCGTGGATGAGAGGATAAAGGTGTTAGCTGCGACATTTTACAGAACTAAGTGTCGTAATAGGGAAATTATGGAGGGAGTTGGGAGAATGCTTTTACAGAGGGCTATCAGAGTTTTAGGTTGGGGGATTTATGGGATTTACGTGCAATGTAAGGGGTCGCGGCGGGCTGGCTTCCCGATGAGGACAGTGTGAAAGGGTTTTAGTGTGGAAGAGAATGAATATAGTACTGAGACATAAGTGCCTTTGACTGTATGATGAGCGGGTTGTGTGTTGTGAACGATACAAGTTCTTCAATTTAATTATTAATTATGCTAATGACAAAGGACGACAGACGTCGTTAATGTGATGGAATATTAAATATCTGCAAAAGAAATTATTGGTATGTGTGTGAATGAAATGACAAAATGGGTGCACTGTGTGAATGCGAAATATATATATACACATGAAGTATTGCGTGTGGTAGGAAGGCTTCAGTATTTATCGACGTGTGAAGGTCATGCACTGTTATGTTTTGTGATAACAGACTTACATCTTAGTAGTGGTTTTAATGATATGGGCGAAATATTTTTAGAAAGCTTGACTTATCCTGTTTTCTTAATACATATTGTTTTTTCATGGGAGCTCTATAGAGCCCGTAGGTTTAGGTTACCATTGAATTGATATATATTATAGGGTAATTGATGGATGACATAGGATTAGGTATTTGTGTTTTCACTGGTTGTGTTGTAAAGTGTATGCAACATATGTATATATTTATACCTTCCTCGAGAAGGTGATATGTTTGGGTGTTTAGTAGATATACGTTGTACATGAATCATGTAGAATTGAATTTTATATTATCTCAATACATTGAGTGATACTGAACGTATCATGTTGTTCAATATGGAATAATGGAAGTATTTCATACAATATACAGTTACATATAAAGATTGTTACGTGTCAGGTGGATTGACATGCAAGAAGGGGGGGGGGGTAGTGTTTTCAGAATGTAAGGTGTACATTCCGTGGCAGGATGTACAATGTAAGGTGTACATTCCGTGGCAGGATGTACAATCAGGAATGAGATGTACTTGCCAAGGAGTCTTTAGGTTAGATTTAGTGTTCCAGACATAATGTCATTACTTCAAGGATTGGAGTGGTCATTGTTTACTGTACAGATTTGTCTTTCAGATGTAATATGTTAATTGGAAAGTACATGTACTATGCAGAATTTTTCATCACTGTTTTCACTATGTAATTTGTCGTTTATTTTTATGTACTATGTATGTCTTTTCAATAAAATATAAAAAAAAAAAAATTATGCCTGTGCATACACAAAACCCCCCACAGCTCTGTACAATAAAACCCCTTGCACAAAGTACACAGAAATTATAATACAGCATACAAAAGATATAATTATACATTACATTAGCTTAAACAGTAGGCAAACCAAGCCTACAATAAACAGTGCAATAACACATACCACAGAAAAAATTGAGCAGGAAACACCCGCAAGTAAAAGACATAACATTATACATACAATAACAGCCTAACGTTTCTGTAACTTGAATTTTTTTATTTTTTATATTTTATTTAAAATTCTATTACAAGATGCAATATAAACATACCATGAAATGGTACATGTAATGACAGAACATTCAACACTCGTACTACAACGGTCCACTTAGTGAACATACAAAGTTACCTTAAGATAACCTAACACAACCTACAATCTACCCAGAAATACAGTGTTACATAATCACAAAGATCTTCATAATACACTGATGCTAACACTAACATCCAACACTTCCACAACCCCCCCGTCGCCCCTCTACTAGTTGAAACCCTAGGCACTCACGTGGTTAAACACAATAACAATGTGTAACATTAAAAAATTAACACCATTGCCAATCTCACATTGTTAAACTCATTATCGATGTTAAACATTAAACAAGTTAATATTATAGCCACTCATGTGGGTAAACAATAACAATATTGAACATTAAAAAAGTTATCGTAGCCACTCATGTGGTTAAACACATTATCAATATTAAACATTAAACAAGTTATCATAGCCATTCTCATGTGGTTAAACACTTTTTTTTTTTTTTTTTTTTTTTTAAACGAGATTCCAAGGTTTAGTCATCATGGTTTTAAGGTTATCCTGTATGCAGTGAACATAACCATAGATTCCAAATTCATCATTCATCTCCCTTCCACTCTATTCATAACCCTCCCACCATCCACACAACAAAGAAGCCTAAACCAACCCACCCTCATGCATCCCCCGGTAGGAGACCAACCCTTTGCCCGCCCCCTGGGCTCATGAGGAGGCCCCCCCCCCACAGTGAGATTCCGGTAACCCTCCGAAAAGCTAACTACCCACCTCCCCCCATAGACTTGCCTATTCCTACACATAGTTCTATAAAATCTCGCTGCTAACGCTTTTATCCTCAACTCTCCCCTAACCTCCCTCATCCCCCAAGATACATGTAAATAATCCGTCATAACATACATTAAGGCTCTACCCACATCACCCGGCACCCCAGTTACATCCAACATTAAGGCCCTTAGGAATGGCCATTGCCCCCCCCCCAAAAGTCTGATAATGCTCACCATCCATAACCTCACCCCCTCCAAAGAGGGACAAAAATATACCGCATGAAAAGCCGTTTCGATGTCCTCACAATGCAAGCATGAGTCCTCTCTCACAAGACCCATTCTACACAACACATCCCTAGAGGCCAATATTCCCATCAGAAAACGATATACTAACACTCGTACCCTCGCTGGTATTCTAAGCAAGCCAAACTTTCTCCATATGCTTATCCAGTCATATGTTGGATATACAGCAAGCCCCTGTAAGACACCCTTGCCCACCACAGCACCCACCATTCGTTTGACCTTTAAAGTGGACACCTGTTTTACATGTAATAAAACCCTCAACATGTCCTCACAATACCTCAAATCCCTTCCACACCACCATCTTCGTGCATCCTCCATTACCCTACCTACCCTGACTCCTCTGTTCCCCCCAGTCCGGATATATCTTTGTTTAATATATAAAGCCATTACTCTATGACCCAATGACATCAGGCCAAGACCCCCACGTCTCCCCTCCGTCATCACCACGTCCTTGCTCAACCATGCCCTCCCAAACCCCCACACATACCTTAGAACCTTCCTCTGGATTTCTGCAATATCCTCTGCTCTTAAAGGGAACACCTCAGCCACTCCCCACACCTTACTGTAAACCAGAGAGTTGACCACTAAAACTCTCTGCTGTAATGTTACGTCCCTAGCCCTTAAGCCTCCTAGCCTACCCAAAACCCTGCTCGTAACTAATTCCGAATTTATCTTCCTACTCTCCTGCACTTCCGCCATGTACCATATTCCACAAACCTTAATTCTGTCCACTACTGACCATCCCAACCCCTCCCCCAAGCCCCTTCCACCTAATCCCCCACCTCTAATAGTCTCGACTTCATTAAATTAACTCTCATACCCGTGGCGTCCCCAAAAATCTGAATGATTCCACCAACTTTCCTTAGATCTTCCTCATGCCTTACCAGCACAGTAGTTCATCTACGTACCCCACAATCCCCCCCGCCCACCCCCCTAATCCCATGTTCATTCATCACCTCATCCACCAGCCATAAAATGGATTCTGTACGCAGGCAAACAATAACAGTGGACAGCCCTGCCTCAAACCTCTCTCCATCAGTACTGGGTCCCCCAACTTACCATTAACCTGTACCCTAATAACTGCTCCCTCATACAAGGTTTGCACCCATCTCACCACCTTCTCCCCCAA